AGATTGGTGAAATCGACGCAAACCCGCCACTTTTCATTTTTCTTCTTTACGACGACGGGATTGGCAAGCCAGTCAGGATACCAAACTTCCATGATCGATCCTATTTTGAGGAGTCTGTCGACTTCGCTGTTGACCGCTTCAGCGCGTTCTGGCCCCAGTTTTTGTCTTTTTTTGTTTGACGGGTTTGGATGTTAGGTCAACGTTAAGTTCATGACATGTGATGTTAATGTCGATTCCTGGCATATCTTCCGCAGTCCAAGCGAACGTGTTCGAGTTTTGTTTCAGACATGTCAGGAGTTTGACTTTTAAGGTCTCGCTCAGGTTTGCACCGATTTCGACGCAGCGTTCTGGAAAAGCCTCATCGATGCACACTGAGATGACAAGTTCGCAGGTTGGCTCGCGTTTATCTTCCAATGCCTCGGCTGCTCGCAACTGCCAGAAGAGTTCCGTTTTATCTTGCTCTGGGGCGTTGTCGAGGGCCGTCGACTTCTTTTTCTTTTTGGAAGAAATGTCGACCGGCAGATTTTTTCGTTTTAAATCCGCGGCGTAGCAAACTTGCGAGGTCCTCCGATTTCCCCATATGGTCTTGATTCCGCACGGAGTCGGGAACTTGAGACACATATGGTACGTCGACGGAATCACTTGCATCGACTTTAACCACGGTGTCCCTACAATTGCGTTGTAATACATGGGTCGATCGACGACTTGGAATTCGACGTTTTTCACTATGCTCCCGGTGCGAACCGTCAGGTTGATCGTTCCGAGGGTCATGGTGATTTCTCTCGAGAGTCCTACTAGCGGGATTACGTTTTCCGCGATTTAAGACAGATTGATTTCCATTCTCTCAAGAGTATTTTTGAAGATGATATCAGCCAAGCTTCCGGTATCGATTAATATCCTCTTGACATCCATATTCTGGATCGTCAGCTCGATAACGAGAAGATCGTTGAGAGGTTTGATCGAATCGATCGTTGCTCTTTTCTCAAATGAGATGACGTCGCCGTTCAGATTAGGCATGTCTTTTCTCGTTCTTTCTAGCGATTATTGTGTAAGAGAATCCGACCCCCCCTCCTTCTAGCGCCAACTGTGGGAACCGAAATCCACACTGTCGATTTTCCATCAAATATGGAAACTTAGGGAAAATCCTAATTTACCCTAGGTCTTGGATCTTTGCGGAAATCACTAAAACAAACGAAATCAATAGAATATGGATGAAAAACGAAGAACAGAGAATGAAGAATTTGCGTGAAAGCTTTTTATTGAATAAGAGATCGACAACTGTTTACAAAAGAGAATTGCAGAACTTAGATGTCGAAACGTTCTAAGGATCCGGCTTGCTAGTCTAAACGCTAAGTCCTAAATTTCTAAGCTAACAGCCAACTCTCTAGGTCTGATTTTCATCCCCTTGCTTTTGCCCTATGCCTTTTGCTTATATACTCCTCTCCTTGGCGGTTTAGTCTTTCCATTTCGCCCGAATTCGAGTTTATCGGGAATCTTCCATTTATCTCGATCATTCCTTTTTTCCCGCGGAAATCTTCTATTTATCTTCAAACTTGCCATTTATCTTCAAACATGACATTTATCTTCCGTATGCGAGTAAACCGTCAAAACGTTATCGTATCTTCGTGTTAGATTTCGTTAAGATCGCGAGATGGGCTTTTATCGCGTTTTAGGACCTCTCGGGCCGTTTTGCGATAAATCCATTTTGCGACTTTGTAAGAGATCGTTTCCTGATCTGATGCCATTTTTAGTAAATTCCCCGAGTTAATCGTAAAGTTTAGCTACGTTAAATTCTCGGTTAATCGCTGCCGTTTTTACGATTTTTACGAAAAATCTCGAATTAATCGTATAGTTTAGGAAATGTTCGGTGTTTCGTTTAACCGTTGCTGTTTTATACGATTTCCTCGAGTTCTTTTCGAGAAAACAAAGTTTTACGGTTTTTATTGTAAAACTCGAACGATAGGACGGATCGAGACGAAACGGGAGACATCTCGACCGTGGTTTGGAACATGATCGTGTTGAAGGACGTAAGCCTTGAATCGGGAATGCGGGAGATCGAGGCTCGGGATGGTCGGTTCGACGTATGGCGAGCCGAACCGGACCGGTTCAGCTTGCCATTTGGCGAGCTGCCCGAGAAGCTTCTAGCTCGCCCAACGGCGAGCTCAACTGGTTGGCTTAGCTCGCCGTTGGGCGAACTAGTCGGGACGAGGCTAGCTTAGCTCGCCTTTGGGCGAGCTAGTCGGGACAAGACTTAGCTCGCCCAACAGCGAGCTAGTCGTGACGTGACTAGCTCGAGTTTTACGGCGGTTTCGGGTTTTTGCGGTTTTGTGCTTAACTCGGACGATCGTGTAATCGACGTCTGTTTCGTTTCTCTGAGATAACGATCTTCCGAGTTTTCCGCGGATTTCCTTTGTTCGGAAATCTCTTTTGGATTTATAAAACGATTTGACGAGTTTTATAAAACGATTTCTCGAGTTTTATAAAACGTTTTCTTGAGTTTTATAAAACGATTTCTCGAGTTTTATAAAATGATTCTTGAGTTTTATAAAACGATTTCTCGAGTTTTATAAAATTATTCTTGAGTTTTATAAAACGATTTTTCGAGTTTTATAAAATGATTCTTGAGTTTTATAAAATGGTTTTTGTATTTTGCGGAAAGTAATGATTCTATCTTTTACATAAGTTATCGTAGACGTTGATTTCGAGATTACGGTTTTGACACCAACACTATATTATTAACAAAATATGTTAAAAACATTTTTAGTGGTTTTCTAACAATGTTCTCAGATTATAGGTTTAGGTGATTTATCCTCAAAGTGTGGTAGCTCTGTACTATAATCCAATCTGGTGAGTAAGACAACATCTTCCAATATCCGCCCTACTAATCTATTGGAAGCATTCTCAACCTCTGAAAATGCTGTGAATGAAAACAAATTGGAGTTTGGTTTCATAGAAATTGAATTATGAAGGTAACCTAAATATTTTGAATTTAATTTAAGTCTGTCATAAAGCATCTATGCTTTATTTTGACCCGTATAATATTTTTGTGGAATACCAAGATGCACAGTGTTATGATATAAGCTCTGAAGAGGAATATAACGTTTATGATAATAATTCAGACACGGAGACAGAATTTGTGCCTGAACAAGATGAGAATGTTCCAACGGTTCCTGATGATGTTCCTGATGATCAAAGAGATAGGATAAAGAGTATTGAAATTTTGTTCAAAAGTATGTTTGAAGAGAAACCTGTTAAGAAGGAATGGTCCGTATCCAAGCGCACTGGTAATATTTAATGAAACATTTTATTAAAACGCAAGTTTTATACAGATTCATATATTTTTACATGTTTTTATATTTTCAAAGCCTAGGAAAAAGAAAGCACCTTCTAAACACAACTTGGGTAATACGTTACATCTGTTTTATATGTTGACCTGCTGTGTTTTGAAAAGTTTAGTGTTACAAACTTTATATCTCTTTTTTTCTAAAGGTCTAGAGTATGTTGAAGAAGGTGATCCAGTCTATAAATGTGAACACTGTGGTGCAATAATGTGGTATGGCGAATGTCTTGAAAAGAAACGTCAGAGTAGAAAACCAAAATTTTCTTTATGTTCTGGTCAAGATCAAGTTCAGTTGCTGTTACTTAAGCCTTCGCTTAAAGATTGGTTGTCCTATTATGTTGCTCAGAAACATAGATCCCACTGGTGGATTAATGAATGGGACTGGACTTCAGGTTACAGAGATGTCCGTAACATTATAAAGGCAAAAGTTATTACAAGAGATAAGGATAAGGTTGGTCGAGTTGTTCTTATTCATAGGCTTGCTATTATCCCTTCTGACAAGAAGTTACCTTTCAAGGTGAGGAGGAGGCAACTTCTTATTTTTGTGGCGTTTGCCATTACAATCAATAAGAGTCATGAGCAATCTCTATCAGAAGTGGGCATTTACCTACCAAAGCTTGTTTTTTCTCATCGCCAATTATATGTGGCTATTTCAAGAGTTACATCCAAAAAAAGTTGAAGATTTTGATTGTGGACGATGAAGGGAAGCCTCAGAGACAAACAATGAATGTCGTTTACAAAGAGATCTTCCAGAATATCTGATTTTTTCAAGAACATTGTTTTCAATTTTATATACTATCTAATTTAAAATGCATTTCCATTATATTTACTCTTAAATTTAGTTAAATTTTCATTCCATATTATGACATTTTCAAGAATCTATATTATATGATACAACCGAAAATAATACCACGCAGCCAAATTTATATTTTAACTACCAAATCATTCTTCCACTACCTACAGAAAATCACATAATGAATAGAATCATGTATTTAATCGAATCATATAAATTTTTATCTAGTGCATTTTGAAAAATAGATGCATATTTTTGGTTTTACTATAAGCCCCAAAATTATATGGGCTCCATAATTTTGAATATCTTTTGGGCTATTAGAAATCTTACCTAATTATGTTAAGCCTTTAGTATATCTTTTGGGCTCCATAATGTATAGGTTTAGTTATTATCTATATAAGAGAGAAAACGTTTATAGATTGACTACAATATCTATAATATCTCTTCATCTTCCTTTCCCTCTTCGGAAAACGGTATTTTCTTTCTTTTTACACAATCGATAATATCTCTTCATCTCCCTAGCATGTTGTCCTGTTGTTAGATCTGTTCTTGCTTAGTCTATTTAAGATCTATGGTTGGAGTAAACTGTCGCTAGGTTCTTTGTTCCTATTTTATTGAATAAAATCATGCTAGGGTTAGATTTTCAGTTACTGTTTTATTTTCGATTCTATGAATATTTTATAAATCCTGTTATATTTTGAGGATCTAAATATAGAAAATAATTTGGGGTTAATATATATTTTATGTGAATTTCTGTTAGATCTTATATCTACATAATAAATATTTAGGGTTAATTATATTTCCATATTTGTTATATTTGTTTCCTAAAACTTATATTTTGCTTCTTGAACATTGAGAAGTATCTCAATGGCAGGTAACAAGGATCTAAAGATGAAAGCTCCGAAGAAAGAGTATGAAGGGGAAACATTGAAGGAGGCTTATGAGAGGGACATGTTCGAGACCATGCAGCGTTATTGGGCTATGCTCTTAATGTTCCGTGATCAGAACAAATCCATTGAAGCAAGACATCAGGAGGAGCTCAATAAGGTTCACATTGCTGCTAAACTGGAGTTTCTCGAAGAATGCGAAGGTCTCTTTTCAATGTACCATGAGAAGAAGAAGACAGAGTTCGAGCTGGTCCTTGTCGAATCCAAGCTTGAAGATGTTAAGGTCCCTACCATCGATTGGTTCAAATTGGGTGAGCCAATGATGTATGAGTGAACATCTAACCAATCTCAATCTTAATCTTAAGTTTTTATGTTTATGTTTAATCTATTTTTTTATTAATTTGAACCCTATGCAGCGGTTGTTTACAACCAGTTTTGTTATAATTGAAAATTTTTAATTAATGCTTAATATTTGTAAAATTATATGTCTAGTATCTACTCTTATTTGTTTATTTATTTTATGCTTTTTAAGGATTATGTTGTTTAATCGAATATTAATAGTTATGTTTAGTATTATTAAGTTTAATAGTACAGATTCTGCTGTTTTTAGAAATTTATTGATTATATAGTGAATATATCTTTTCTCTTAATTACACAACTATTCGAATTTTAAACTTTATTTTTTTCTTATTTATTAATCTTATTTTTAGAATCTATGTTTGTTCTGATTTTGTTCTGACAATTCCGAAATGTACTTCTGATATGATTGAGATATATCTTCTTCCAAGACGATTCTTTTATAAAGTTGGTTCAAAGATATTCTTTCCAAGAATTAATGATTTGACATTTTGGCCATGTTATCAAGATTTTTAGATATACATTTCGCATGTGATTTTGTTTTGACAATTCTGATATGTACTTGTGATATGATTGACATATATCTCATCTTCCAAAATGATTCTTTTATAAAGTTGGTTAAAATATGTTCTTTCCAACACCTAATTATTTGACATTTTGGTCATTTTATCTAGATTTTTAGATAAAAATTGAGTTTATCCATGTCAAACAATAATTTCTCTTTTTGAATTCTTTGCTACATGCAAAAATCAAATATAGTAACATGATAATCGAATCATCCCATTTTGAAAGTATCTATGCATTAGATTGTTTAATCTATGGGATAAAAAATTTGTTTAATATTTTTAATATCTTTGATTTTACACGATTTTATTGTATTATTTTACATGTTAGCGCTTGTGATCTTCAGAATTTCTTCTATTTTTAAAACTATATTATTTGGAATCATAGATGTTATTATTTTAATACTTAGTTGGAATTTGAATATTATTTTTATTGTTCAAAAATGATAGAAGTGATTATTTTAACTAACATAAATAAACTATATAATTCAATTAACATATTTATTAGATTTAACTACAAATTTGTAATACAATTTTGGGCCTTTTAAATAGTATTGATTTTTCAAATTTACTATGAGCCATGGACCCATCTAATTTTTTTTCAATCTAATATGTGTTTTAATTTTTCATACTCTCACAACACTTTATTTTTTTATTCTCTGTTCAGTCACAAACTGATTCGGTTATGCAAAACTCATGAAAAGACCCTACTAAAAAGTTAAATATACATCAAATTTCACATATAAAACTATCATATAATAGAAATCGAATTATTTTATACTTTTTGTTACAACTGAAACAAAACCCGCGCTTCTCAAGCGCGGGTCAAAATCTAGTGTAAATTAAAACTTAAAGAAATCCTTGGTTGGTAATTATGGATACAAGAGTGTAAATATATATATCAAAGTCTTATTGGAGATAGTATTTGCAACTAGCAAACTGCTAGTATGATCGGGGTTGTTACTTACGAGGGAGATCTCATCATTTACTATGACATTTAACTTAGGGCTCTGTGGGTGTCGATTTCCACCTACTGTCAATAAATCGTAAAAAAAGGGAAAACCCTAAGTTTCCAGAGGAACCAGCTATTTGCAGAACCGCACAACAAATATTAAGAAAACGATGAACTTTTAAATTAAAACGAAAATAACGATATTGAAAGCAAGAAGGTTCTTATTCCGAATCTGCGTAGAACTGGTACAAAAGAGAGGCCTTAAGCTGCGTAAGCCGTCGGCAAAATCCTTAGAAATCTAAGAACGAAAACCCTAATTGAGACGCAGCTCGCTAATAGAAAAACGGAAATATTCCTAATTGCTAGATTTGGTGGTGAGAGCTCTGAATTTCGTGCCCCTTGCTTCTGCCCTAGACCTCCTATTTATATACTCCTCGCCTTGGCTATCCGATCTTTCCATTTCGCCCAGATTTGACTAAATCGGGAATTTTCCATTTCTCTCGATCCTTCCTTTTCTTCCGCGGAAATCTTCTATTTCTCTTCAAACCTTCCTTTTATTTTTAAACTTGACTTTTATTTTCCTCCTGCGAGTAAACCGTCAAAACGTTATCAAATCTGCGGGTTAGATTCCGTTGAAATCGCGAGATGGGTTTTTATCGCGTTTTAGGTCCTTCCGGGCCGTTTTGCGATAAAAACCGTTTTCCGACTTTTTACGGGATCGTCTCCTGATCTGACGTCGTTTTTAATAAATTACTCGAGTTAATCGCAAGGTTTTACTTTTTACTCGACTTTTTATTAAAAACACGTTTTTTTACGACTTACACGGCATTTTTTATTAAAAGCGCGTTTTTTATGATTTCAACGAGAAATCTAGAATAAATCGTATAGTTTAGGCAATGTTCGGTGTTTCGTTTAATCGTTGCCGTTTTATACGATTTCCTCGAGTTCTTTCCAAGAAAACGAAGTTTTACGGTTTTTATCGTAAAACTCGAACGGTAAGTCGGATCGAGATGGAACGGGAGATATTTCAGCCGTGGTTTAGAACGTGACCTTGTCGAAAGACGTAAGTTTCGAATCGGGAATGCGGGAGATTGAGACGCGGAATATACGGGAAGTCTCTAGTTCGCCCATCGGCGAACTAGTTGATCACTTCCTAGTTCGCGTTTTACGGCTATTTCGGTTTTTTTGCGGTTTCGTAAAACGATTCTCGAGTTTTATAAAACGATCTTCGGATTTCATAAAACGACCTTCGAGTTTTATAAAACGATCTTCGAGTTTTATAAAACGATCTTCGAGTTTTGTAAAACGATTCTCGAGTTTTATAAAACGATTTCTCGAGTTTTATAAAAGGATCTTCGAGTTTTATAAAACGATCTTCGAGTTTTACAAAACGATTATCGAGTTTTATAAAACGATTTCTCGAGTTTTATAAAACGACTTCTCGAGTTTTATAAAACGATCTTCGAGATTTATAAAACGAAACGATTCTCGAGTTTTATAAAACGATTTCTCGAGTTTTATAAAACGATCTTCGAGTTTTATAAAACGATCTTTGAGTTTTATAAAACGATTCTGCTCAAAATATTTTGGATCTTCGAGTTTTATAAAACGATTCTCGAGTTTTATAAAACGATCCTTAAATTTTATAAAACGACTTCTCGAGTTTTATAAAACGATCTTCGAATTTTATAAAACGATCTTCGAGTTTTATAAAACGTTTCTCGAGTTTTATAAAACGATCTTCGAGTTTTATAAAACGATCTTTGAGTTTTACAAAACGATTCTTCGAGGTTTATAAAACGGCCTGCGAGTTTTATAAATGACTTTGAGTTTTATAAAACTATTCCTCGGGTTTTATAAAACTGTTCTTTTTGTATTTTCGCGGGGATTTTTGGCTATTAATTCCGTCGTACTGATTTTGACCCCAACAGTTAGCCCCCCAGCTCGTAAGAATCGTGAGATTCTTGCGAGTGGATTGAGCTCGTTTGGCGAGTTTGGTGGAATTTGGCGGAACTTTAATGGCCAAAAGTCCAAAAGGGAATAGTAAATTCTTCCCTATAAGTATATGGAGTGAGTTTCATAAATTTTTCATTCATTCCTCCATAACTTGCTTAAGTTTTAGGAAGGCTTCTCTCTACTTTTTCCTTTAGATCATTTTTTCTTTCGATTATCCAACATGTCTTTTGGACGGAAAGTTTCAGATGGTGCTCATGCATCAATCTTTGATCCGAGCGACCTTGATACTTCCAGCGGCTGTCCTCTTCCCAAGCCGGTCTTTCGACGTATCTCTACGACTAAGGAAGAGTTCGCAGACTACTGTTCAGCCGTGAGTGCCGCGGAGGTGCCGCCTTCGAATTTCTGGGTTCCGAAAAGAAATAATCCCCGGAAGAGGGCAGTTGGCATGAGCACGAGTACTGTTGGTTCTCTCAGATATTTGAAAAATACCTGTGCGATCCCCGAGTCGGTTCAGTTTTGCATCCTTGTCGAGGGTATGAGTGCCGGGGATCCGCCTCCGGGTTATTTTACGTGCTATGAAGCCTTTCTGCTAACCTGCCATCTATGGTTCCCTATTCCTCGAGCCATTTTCGAATTCTTGGACAGGTTTGAAGTGCCATNATCCGCCTCCGGGTTATTTTACGTGCTATGAAGCCTTTCTGCTAACCTGCCATCTATGGTTCCCTATTCCTCGAGCCATTTTCGAATTCTTGGACAGGTTTGAAGTGCCATTCGGCCAACTACGCCCTAAAGGCTTACAACACCTTATCGGGATTCTGGTGTTGGGATATGAACGCGGTATGTCCCTTGATGCGGATTATCTTTTGTCTATATTGACATTCAAGGGGAGAAAGGGTGGTTTTTATTTAGCCCCCCGACGGGACATGACGGTTGTTGGCGGGCTTGCCTCGAATGATCACGACTGGATCTATCGTTTCTTTTATGTCAAAATCGACAGCGAATCGGTGGAGGAGACTTGTATTCCTTTGATTAGGGCTGCGCGGGTGACAAACGGTATTTCATTAACGTGATACCCATATCTATGTAGATATAGGTTTTAACTTTTTCGTTTGTTTCGCAGTGCCTGCCCTTCCGGTGCCGATGCTTGAAGATTTTCCGAAGGTTATGAATCTTCTGCGCGGCGGCCCGCTTCATTGGGGATATTTTTCTCGGAAAAGGATCCGTCGTGCCGCCGCCTATTATTCGTCCGGTTTTTCTTGGACGGTCATGCCGATCTTATGGTGGACGATGGTGCGGAAGAGAGGGAAAGATCTAGATCTCCGCAGGATAGAGAAGTTCCGGTCGATCACGGTCGGGCATCTAACGAAGATATTGATATCGAGGATCTTATTGATTTTTTGCCCTCCAAATTTGATCCGGCTGAGACGTCATCCCGAGGGCCAGCTGACACACCGTTTGCGAAAGCGTCGAGGCTTTTCAACAAGGTTTGCCTATTCTTTATTATAA